CGTCGGAAGCGGCGCGCGTCAGCGTGTCCTCTAGCTCAGAGTTTTGCTGCTTCAAAGCATCGATCTCAGGTTGCGCGCGCGCTCGTTCCGCCTGAACCACCTCACGGGCGACCTCTACCATGATTTCAATCTGCTCCTCGCCAAACTTCCTCGTCTGCTTGAGGGTTCGCAGCGCCTTTCGCACTTCAGTTCCGACATCCAGTCCCAAGGCGTCGCCAGCCGGCGCGGCCGGCGCAGGCGCGGCCGGCGCAGGCGCGGCCTGCGCAGGCGGCGGCGCCGGTGCCGGTGCCGGTGCGCCCTCAGTCTTTGCCTTCTTGGGCGCTGGTTGCGCCTGCTCCACGGGCTGTGCCAGCGGGAGGTGACCCTTCATGTTTGTCCCATCGTTATGCTGCCACAACGTGCGTCCGTCGAGAGCATGCCACTTCTTCTTGTCGGACCACGTTCTGTACGGCTTGTCGGAGCTGGATTTGTCTCGGTAGATGTTCAAGGCGGGCTTGCCTGATGTTGGGGGCTTCTGTCCGACTTCTTCGTAATGGGGGGGCGGGCTGCCGTCGGCCATCGCGATCGCGATCGGGTTCAGCTTTGGTTCAAGGACTCTGGTTTCAAAACCTCGTCAACGATGGACTCCTCGAACGAGCCCGCGCCTAGTCCAGCCAACGTGCCTGAACCACCGCCGCAGCAGCGCAAGCGGCCGAAGCGCGAGCCGCGTCCCGAGGGCGTCGTGCTCGTCGGCGCCGACGACACGTCCGTGCTCCTCAAGGCCTTGGACGTCGTCTCCCAGCGCTTCCCGGCCCTCGCCGCCGTCGCGCAGGCGCCGCGGACCGGCGACGCCCTGCAGCGCCTGCTCCGGGCCAAGAAGCCCGACGCTCGGTGCGTCGCGGAGGTCGAGGCCCTGGCCAAGCGCGGCGCGTTCGCGCGGCCTCCCGAAACCGCCGCGGCCGCCGCGCGGGCCTACGCGGCGGGCGAGGCCGCGCGGCGCTGCGCCGCGCCGACGATCGGCGGCGCCATCGGCGACGAGGACCGCGTCGCCGCCGGCGCGGCCTGCGGCGACCTCGACTGGGCCGCCGCGCGCGCGGCGCTCGCCGGCGCGCTCGCGCGCGACGGCGCCGCGGCGGACGCGGCCCTCGCCGTCGTCGACGGGTACGCCGAGCGGTGCTGCTTCGAGGCGGGCACGGTCGCCATGAAGCGCATCGCCGAGGCCTGCATGGCG